TCTGCCTGCTGCTCTGCCTACTTGTGATCTCTCTCTCTCTCTCTGTCAAATAAATAAATAAAATCTTTAAAAAAAAAAAAAGAATCAAAACCTGAATGTAAGGCTTCAAGTATGAAATGACATGAGGAAATTATCATTTATATCAATGAGGATTCAGTTAGGAAACTAAAAATCACCCTAGGTAGGGATTGAAGATGAAAACTCGAAGCCTGAAACAACCATTGAAAGAACTGTAGGCAATCTATACATAGGATCAAATTGCATTGACTTACACAACACACAAATGAATCCATGCAAAACTAGTGAAACCTGAATATGTTCTACAATCTAGTTAATACGGTCGTACTGACGCCAGCTTCTAGTTTTGATACATTACAGTGATAAAAGATGTCACTATTGAGAGAAGCTAGTTTTTGTTTTATTTGGTTTTCATGCAACTTTTTTTTTTTTTTTTTTTGCAAACTTCTATGACTCTATAATTCTTTCTAAGTTAAGAAAAGGAGGCTATGGAACCAACAATTGAATAAAAGACCATGCTGTTTTTCTGAATATCCAGAAGTGCAGGATTGCTAGGAAACCACACTAGAGTATGTGATTCCAGGATCTCACCCAGAAGCTCCTGTAAACCTTGCATCAGTTGACTGTCCTCACTCGGGCCGCAACTGCCACTAAGGGATGTCACCTCATTCACTTCTGCCTTTTACGTGCCTATGTGTGTTTTCATTGGCTGATTCTAACCAGAGAAACTGACTGCAAAGGTTTGGGGGAAATCTAGATTGAGGCTTCTAGTCCCTGACCTAGAAGGGAAAGTAAAAAGGTCCAGGGATAATGCTGAGTTAAAAACTTATATCCCAGCTTACTGATATTTAATAAATACCATACATTTATCATCCAGTCTCTGAAAAGGGGATTAGAAGAAGGAAATTGGTCAAATTTTTCAGTTTGTAAATATAGAAAATTCATAAATAATTTCGTTTCCCAGCACAGTTTCTTGGTCTCTCTGCCAAGCCATCTTCATCCAAAAGAATTTATAATAAGCAAAATTTTATAATATTTTTCCAGCTTATAAAACAATGTCACACGAACTCTTTCATTGGCCTACCAAACAAAGCTGAGAAACAGATAATAATAAAACACATAATACTTATCTACAAATTTCACTTATGTTATCACATTTCCTTGTAACCCACCAATAAAAGTGTGTTCTTTGTAGTTCTCTATGTACAAGACCTGTCTTTCCATGTCCTGGCACATGTGTCTTCTTTAGCTGGGAATGTCTTTCCTGGTACAAATTCCTCCTGGAAAGCCACATACCTCCTCACACCCTGTTTATTAAGGTCTTGCTTTATCTCTTTCCTGAAAGAGACCAAGGCTAATGGAACATGAACAGGAAGCCCCCCTGTGTGCTGCCCTTGCAGAAGTCCAGGGATTGGCTAGCAGGTATGATCCAAGATCCATTCCTCAGCTACCTCTCCTTACTCCAAGAACCTCACTCTTGATGAGCCAAATCTAACTTCCCCATGCAAAACTGCAAGGAGAAAAATTAATTTGGTAGTATACAGGGGGCCTAATAAGAATCTACCATTAGGGGCGCCTGGGTGGCTCAGTGGGTTAAGCCTCTGCCTTCTGCTCTGGTCATGATCTCAGGGTCCTGGGATCGAGCCCCACATCGGGCTCTCTGCTCAGCAGGGGGCCTGCTTCTCCCTTCTCTCTGCCTGCCTCTCTGTCTACTTGTGATCTCTCTCTCTGTCAAATAAATAAATAAAAAATTTAAAAAAATTTAAAAAAAAAGAATCTACCATTACACTGCAGTCCGAGGCGTATGTTTGCCAGTCATACCACTACTGCAAATGAATCTTGTAGCTCCTCCTTTCTACTATTTATTTCCCCTGATTCACCAATTCCTACTCCTCCTTTCCTTCCCTGTAGGTTCTCATGTTAGTGATCTGATGGCTAGAGACACTTCACTGAGCCAAACACCCTTGCCCGCAGTGAGCTTACAAACTAGTGAGGAAGACAAATATTATGTAATTATCTTAGAAATAATATAACCAGGGGCTTCTGGGTGGCTCAGTCGTTAAGCATCTGCCTTCAGCTCAAGTTGTAATCCCAGGGTCCTGGGATTGAGCCCCACATCAGGCTCCCTGCTCAGCAGGAAGCCGACTTCTCCATCTCCCACTCCCCCTGCTTGTATTCCCTCTCACTGTCTCTGTCTCTGTCAAATAAATAAATAAAATCTTTAAAAAAAAAAAAAAGAAAAGAAATATAATGACTGAAACAACTACTGTAGCTATAAAGCAACATTTATAAAGTTTTAGAAAAGGAAAAAAAGTTATGAAGGAGAAGGATAGGACAGTATAAAAGAGAGCTAGGGCAGGTGAGGGGCAGATCAAAGCAAGCGTCCCTGAGGTAAGAATGCCAGTTGAGTTCAAGCTTATGAGAGGGATTTATTCACATAGAGGAGGCTGGGAGGAAATCAGGGAGAGAACAAGAACATTCTGGGCAGATGCCCCATAGCTGTCAGCCTGAACTCAGGGGTGCCTCAGGGGTGCCTGAGGGAAATCACAAAGCTTCCTCAACCCTCCCTCCCTTCTCACCAATACCACCCTGACATGAGGCACTTGAGCTCAGAGAGCAAGAAGGAAACATAGAGGTTTATGGTTCAGAATCCAACAGAGGAGAGGAGGAGGTGGAGGCAGACTATATCACGGAAAGAACATGGTACTGGTCATCACAGTTTACATGCGGACACTGATAATTATTAGCTGTGTGGCCTTGGGAAAGTCACTACCAGCATCTCAGAGTTGTCAGGAGGATTCAGTGAGAAAAGAAATGAGTAGGGCCTTAGACCCAGTGAGTGCTTAATAAGTTTAGCTTTATCTGCTCACTTTCTCCAGGTTTGCTCTGTGTACCCTCAAAGTTCATAGGTTGAAGCCCTGACTTATGAGACAATGCAACTATATCTGCAGATAGAGTCTTTGGGAGGTAACTGAGGTTAAATGAAGTTATAGGGATGGCCCTGCTCCAAATGGACTGTGGCCTTATAAGAAGAGGGAGATGGGTGCTTGGATGGCTCTGTTGGTTAAGCAACTGATTCTTGGTTTCAGCTCAAGTCACGATCTCGTAGGTTGTGGGATCAAGCCCGAAGCTCCATGCTCAGCAGGGAATACGCTTGAAGATTCTCTCCCTCTGGCCCTCCCCCCTCAAATAAATAAACAAATCTTTTTAAAAAAGATTATGTCCCTCTCCCCTTTCTCTCCCTCCATCATGTGGGGACACAGTGAGGAGCAGCTGTCCACAAGTCAGGTTAAAGGCTCTCACCAGAACCCAACCACGCTAGCACCCCAATCTCAGACTTTCAACCTCTAGAACTGAGAAAAATAATTTCTATTGCTTAAACTACCAGTCTATGATAGTTTGTTATGGTGGTCCAAGCCAGCTCCAGTAAAGCCCAGTTAGAAAACTGCTCTTACAGATGATGGAGTGCAAATCTTAACTGCAAGGACATTCAAAGAATGAATTTATGAAAAGGCAAAGGAAGGGAATAGAATAAATGAATAAGACGGGGGGAGTGGGCTTGAACATTTTCATAAATGAGGCTGATCTCGATCCATCCTCTGTCTGGCTGTGACTACTTCTGAGATGCACACAGTCTCACATGGGTCAAAACACTACGGATGATCTTCTGTGTGGTTGAGCAAAACCACTTTCTCCTTGTTTTCATTCTTATTGTTGCATGAGAGATGGGACACTTAAACTCTAAGAAAGAAGACCAGTAGTGGCCAAAAAGTGGATCCAAGCACCAAGAGATAGCATGACAAGGGAAGAAAAGCAAAATATGCTCTTTAAAGGGAGAAGGAAAGAAAGTGCAAGAACCCAGGAGCCCTGGCACTCAGGGGTGCAAGCCAATGACAAAAATGGGAAGAGGTGGTGGCACCATACCATCAACAGTGCTCTATGTGTGAAATGCTATGCGGGATGCTGGAAAATACTACTTCACAATTTCAAAACCTGCAAAGGTTGATAAGCACTATCTCCATAAAGACTCCATTTGATCTCACCAGAGCAAAAATGAGGCAAGCACAGCAGGACAGGGATGTCCCCAGGGAGGAAACTCTGGTTTGGAATGCTTCATTAGAGTTCCTTTGGCTGGCAAGCATTAGAGGTAGTAACCAAGCCTCCATTTTCTGATTCCAGTCCCAGTGTCCTTTCTGTGACAAATGTCAAGACATGCTCTATATTTTTGCATCTGACCTTGACTTGGTTTTCCAAGGTCAAAATTTTCTCCATGTCCTATCTCATTCCCTGAGCAACATGCTCCTCCCCCCAAAAAGTCACAGGATGGCTTCTTCCAGAACACAAAATAACATTGAATGGACTATGAGAACTGAAGGAAGAAGAGAACCATGTAGATGGGGACCTACTGACAAAAGCCACATGCTATAATGACTTCCCCCTTGACGAGACTGTCCCATAGCGATCCCGATACTGTGAGGCCACACAAGGATAACTGCAGTTTTGATTCCCACTTTGTACCTGTGAGAAACTGAGGCTCAGAAATATGAAGGACCTTGTCCATGATGTTCATTCTAAAGATCAAGAGTCAGATGCCAAACCCTTGTGTCCACCTCCATCTCCCTATAGGGGAATGAGCCCTGGCATGACAGCCAGTTTTCTAATCCTTCCACTCACTTCCCATGCCATCCTGGTCAAACCTTATAAACCCCAGGCTTCCTTTCCTTCCACTCTAAACTGAAGGGGTTGGACTGCATGGTCTCTGAGAACGTTCTCTAAGGTGGCTGGTAAGAAAACAATCACAAGTATTGGAACACATATTGTCCAGACTCTTTGTGCTGTTTCCCAAATATAATTCAGGGAGTCAGCCAACAGATAGAAGAGGATATTTATTCTTGCTGGTGAGGTCGACAGATACTTTTTTTGAGCTCGATCACACAGGAGGTCTGCAGGCCACAGCGTCATTGCACGTCATGGGCCCTGCGTGCTGCTCCCTCTCTCCCCGCCACTGCTCGAAGCCTGGGAGAACGCTTTTGAAACCAATCAGGAAATTACTTATCAATCTGAAGCCCCACAGAGTTATGAGTGCTCCTCGCTGCCAAAGGGAAGGGGATTTCGAGTGAAAGCTCCACATCTGTGCGCAGTAGAATTCAAAGACTCCAGCTGTTGGAAGGTCTTCCGAGCAATGTAAGTAAACAGCCCTCTCTCCCGATCGAAGTGAACTTCTTCAGGCTTTTTTTCTCCCACAGATGAGTCTTTTGGCTCACATCGGTGTTGAGCTGTTCTCTCTCTGTTCATCTGTGAGGTTTGGGGGTGTTTACTGACTGGGGCTTACTCAATGAACCATCTCCTCTGGGGGATACTTCTGCTGAACAGAGGAGAGAAAGCGAAAGTCGTCAGAATCGGCTTTGCTTAAGAAGGGTTAGTTTTGAAAAGAGCCCTTGACTTGGCAGCTCTGTTCCTTAATGACTATAGATCCATAGTTAAGGGGAGGGTGACACTGACATGGACACTTGTGGGGGCTTCACCCTGAAACACAGAGTGGTCATCAGGTTTGTGCCTACATAATTCAAATTTAAGGTGTTCTCTTCATTTTGATATACCGCAGGATTTTAATTGAGGAAAAAGGGAAACATTACAGTTTATACTGTCCGGTGAAGCTTTTCTTGGAGTGGTGTAAATCTCGTGCTCAATTTAATTTTGGTTGGGGGTGCTGATTACTGTTCATTTTATTAATCAAATGGGCTCGGCATTTTACACTGCTGTGGGGAGGAGAATGCATTCGTTGCAATGCATGAGTGTAAACATTTAGGCTGTGTTGATAAAAATGTGGGTTTGTATTAATAGTAATTGCGCGATGGGATTACATAACTTCATACATAACGCATTGTACTGGAGTATATTGCTTTTAAAGATATTTTAAATCAGATTGTGATTTAAGGACTGAAAAAGTAATTGCAGGTATATAGCTAATATAAAATAAATAGCGCTGTTTTGATCAACCTTTGTTCCCTGAGACCCTACAGCTTCTCCAGGAACTTGAGAGTCCTTTTCCAAGGGTTCCTCATCAAGAATGCTAGCGTTTCAGGGAACTGGTGTCCCAAGATCTCAGACTCTTCCCCACCATCAGACTATGCATCTCGTAATATGTCTTGATTCCGGTTTGAATAATAAAGGCTCACACCCTCATCTTGGTTCTTCTACTCCCTGGAAAGCTCCCCTGAGCACAAAAACAACTGCATTTAACTCCGGTTAATATCTGACTTCCTTTCTTCCCTTTAAACAATTTTGGTTCATGGTTTGATGTCCTGTGACAACAAGACTGGTCTTATTCCCAATATGTTAGGTACTTACCTCCTCCGTGCCTCAGCGCCAGCACAAGCGTAAGGCATGTCACAGGGTCAGGCAGCTCCGTGTGGAAAGATACTTTAGCTACTAGGAATTTATAACAGCCTATTTCCTATGTAGACACTGCCTGGCCCCCTGCCTGGAGCAACTTTTAGTCTGAGGAGATCTCTAACCTCTCACCTTTACTTAATACATGTTATATAGCTAATGTGCTAAAAGCCATAAAAACAAGAGGTGAGATGATGCTCCCCTCCTAGAATTAACATGTCTGTAGTCTGTACAGCCCAAGACAGCTTTTGTTTTCATGGCAATAATTAAATAATTCTGGGCACTGGCTGTTGGACATGTGCGGTGCAGTGGATCATAAAATGGAGGGATACATGCTTGAAATGTGAAAGGAAATTATCTAAACATTGGGAAATATTTACTGCGTATTGACCATGCACTTGGCCCTCTGCTCACCCTGTCTCGTGTGGTCTTGGGAGCAGCACGTGAGGAAACATCCCAGAGTGGCCCATGTGTTGGTCAGTTAATGCCCCTGTGCCTTGGTTTCCTTACTATGAAATAAAGGTAAAAACCTTGGGACTCATGTGAAGGTTCAGAGTTAAGGAAAGCAAAGTATTTTTTTGTCTCTCTTACAGGAGAAACTGAGGTTGAGTTTAGCTAAGTAACTTGCCCATGGCCACACAGGTGATGGCTGTCAGGGCTACGATTTGGGAGTAAATGATCTGGCTGCATCAGACTGGAGAAAGGGCAGTTTTTACCAGCTTCCCTCGTGCTGTTGGGTTCTTCCTTGTACATCCTTATCCAACCCTCATAGTGCCTTCTGGATGAAAGTAACTGACCGTTGCCCATGAAGATTTCAGACAGGGAAACAAGCTCAAGACTTGAACCAATTTGCCCTAGGTCACACACTTAGAAATCAACAGGGCTGGGAGCTAAGTGCAGGTTTTGGAATTCCCAGGCTTGTGGCCTCTTCAAGACCCCACGCTCTTGATGGGGGTGGGATGGGGTGGGTGAGGCCCATACTGCCTCCCTGCAGGGGAGAGTGAGCTAGCGAAGGATGACCATGCTTGGCATCAGTGAGGCCCTCAGCTGTGCCTGGCCCGGTGCCTCATTAATTAAAGCAGGTGCCGAGGCCCTTTATCAGTAACTCTCCAGAGGATAGAATGTGCATCAAACTTTAACAGTCACTTTCCTCAGCCTGTTCTGTAATTTGGGAAAGAATGAAGATTGCTGTATCCACCTGAAGAAGGTAAAAAGTTCGGTTAAATAAAAGAGATGGGGCATTTTCCTCATTCAAATTTTTGGATTACACTGAGGTCAGAATCAACCTCAGTTCAGAGTTGTTTACTGTCATATTTATAACCCTGTGCTTTCTTCCTCTTTCCACACGTGTCTCCTTCCAAGCGCTGTGACCGTCCAAACGTTGTATCATCAGCCTCTTGACTGCACCAGCAGAGGGGTAGATATCCTTCCCTTTGTTGGCTTTTTATTATAAATCAGTACTGCTCAGTAGAATTCATCACCATATTAGAATAAAGCGAACTATATGTGTAATATGAGAAATTTACTAAATAAACTTTACACAGAGAAACTGGCAACTTGGAGCATTTACTGTGCTGAATAAAATATTATGAGATTGCTTTCTCTGCAGACTACTACAGCACAGATAGAGGCAAGCCAAATGTGTCCTCAAAACATGTGCTGGGAACTTCAGCTGCCTTGGAAAGAGGTCATAGAGGGCATGGTGGAACAGGAACCACTGAATGCTGGAAATAATTTCCAGTGGTGGCAAATGTCAGGAGTTGAAGGGAAATAGCCAGAGTTTTGAATTCTGGTTCGATCACTTTCTAACCGCAAGACTCCAAGTACATCACTTACCTCTCAAATGCATGTAACAGACATAAACAACCCAACATGGTACCTAGCACAATGGCTGCCCAATCAACAGGGGTTACTTTTCTTCTTAGCTCTGGTCCATTCAATCCACAAATATTAACTGAGCACCTACTATGTGCCATGCATTATTCTAGATATAGATATGAACTAGCCCAAGTCTCTTCCTTCATACCTCCAGAGAGGGTGACAGTAGATGCATAAATCAGGTTGTAACCACTGAGACTGGGAAGCATTGTAGAGAAAATTCAAAACGGTGATGGGGTAGAGTGACCAGCTGTAAATCCATGGGGCTTTTTTGAGACCTGAAAGTCTCTTCTGTCATTTTCTTTCCTCACCTCAGCATCAAATGCCAGGAGAAATTTTATGAAAAGAAGGACAGAAAAATTTCTGAACCAAACTACTGCAGTCATTTCTTTCATTGCATCTTCTGGGCATTTTTCAAAATGTTCTTCCTCGTCAAAGATAAATCAGTAGGTCCTAAGTGCATGAAGATTAATTAATGATTCTTCTTAAAAAGTTCAAATCATCACAATTCCTAGGGATTATATTGTTGGGGAGGAGAAGAACCACCGCATGCAGATTTTTAGGGATGAATTGTGCAGCTTCACAATGACTTCATGTGTGGCTTGAGTCTGAAATTGTACATATGTTAGTGCAGCCAACATGCGAAGCTGCCAGAATTCAGCCGATCCAACTCTCTATTAGCCAAGAGTCATGTGTACAGCTTTGAAAAACAATCCATGGTCTGTAATGTTTCCTTTCTTAAAATGGTGCAACAAACCTCACTTGGGTCTGAGACAGCGTCTCTCCATAGCGAAGGTCACAGTGCAGATAACTTGTACCAGAGGAATCTTTGTCTTTCAATCAGCCCACTATCTGTGGCCAGAATATTCTTGGCTGTAACAATCCAGATGACTGTCTCATTACTCCATTATGCCTTTATCACCATCATGTAAACCCCAATTATGGATCCACAACTTAGAATGAAAATTATGTGTACACAGCAAGACAAAATGCACAGGTCAATGTTTTGGATTTTCCAATAAATTACTGGTATTTTTCTGTTTCATTTATAAAAATGTGGTCTCTCCAAATTGTAAATGCATTTCTAGAAATTACTTTGAAAACAAGGTCCCAAGTTAAAATGCAATGACTGAAAAATAAGAGCAAAGAGGATGAGATTAAGACATTGAAGTTAATTAACCAGTAGTAGAGAGGGTTGTGGGGTAATTCAGTGATGCTCCTTGGGACTCCAAATCAATCTCACCCAGAGAATGATGGTGAACTGTTGTCCTGAGGGAAGAGAAGGGGAAGGGTACTACTGTTTTTCATGCACTTTTATGACAGATACTACTCACGCAATTTTAAGTACATGACGTCCTCATCATGACACTTGTGTGGCTATTATTTGCTTGTTCTACAGATGAGGAGCTGAAGCTTGGTGCAGTTAAGTAACAAGGAAGCTCAGCACCAACTAGGAAGTGGCAGGACAACCTGAATCCAGGACTTCCCTGTTGCACAACCCACTCTACTACTCTGCTGGAGAAAGATAAAGGGTTTTTTCACCAAACCTCCTACACACATGCAATACACATTCTTTTTAAGTAAAAAAAGAATGTATTGCAAGTTTTTTAAATGTTGAAATGGCCTCCTGAGGGAAGAGGTTGAGGAATTATCTTATTTGGAGGTCTATTAAACCCAGATTGGTTATCATACATATCTGGTATGACTTCAGTGTGGTTCTTCTGCAAGGTGAAAAGAGCCAACATGATTTCTTAAGGCCCTTTCTAATTTTTCCAAACAAAGGCCAAGTCTACATCCATGCAAGACAAAATGGTGGTAACATGGCAAGTCTGGTCATCCAGCTCTCCTTCCCAGACTCCATGCCAAGTTCTTTGGCTGGAGTGATGTCCAGACTTTCTGGTAATACCACATTC